AAAAAAAAAAAAAAAAAAAAAAAAAAAAAAAAAAAAAAAAAAAAAAAATAAAAAAAAAAAAAAAAAAAAAAAAAAAAAAAAAAAAAAAAAAAAAAAAAAAAAAAAACAAAAAAAAAAAAAAAAAAAAAAAAAAAAAAACAGGGGATGGTTCGCTGCCGGATCGTCTGGCGTTGAGGTGGCGCTGGCTGCTGTCCACCCATTGTCGGTGTTGACGGACACATACCCAACCAGTTTTAAGCAAGTTTTTTGTGGGTTGCCGTGAGCAGCCGATCTTGACTCCGCCGTGACAATTTGGAGGAACGAAGGTACATGGCGCAATAATCCCCGCGCCACTTACACCAACAGCTATCAGCAGACAAGGCACGCGACATCCTTTTTCCAGCTGTGGTGGTACAGCGCCCAAAGTATGTATAGTTCGTAGGAAAACAACACTCGTAGCGCACAACTACAACCACTCTAAAATGCAAAAGCACAATGAAGCATGAGCACGCACTGTATGTACTGTGAAGCTGAACTAACTTGAGCTAATGGCTTGAGGACGACAAGAATACGCTCGAACCACAAAGGTGGGCTAGGTGATGCCAGGTGATAAATGAAAACCGCCTCGAGTAAACACAAACGCAAAGGTCCTTGCCCAGTTTTTTGCTCACAAATTTTGATGTTCCCAGCCCCCGTTTCGAGAGGCTGGATGTGAGGTGGCGGCAGACGGGCCACGGGAAGATGGCTTCCGGACCGGGTGCTCCCTTCTCAAGGTACACATCAATCCACCGACCAATTTAGCGCGCCTCGCCAAATAGCCAGTGCGAGGGCATGCGAGGGCATGATTTTTCCCAAACGCGCAACGTCTCGATTTGAGGTTGTGGGTCTGGGGGTTGGGACTTGACCGGAGCGTTCGCAAGCGTCCGCCGTGTGTTCGCAAGCGTCCGCGGCCGAATATCGCCCTGAAACGCAGAATTGTCGTTGCTTTTGGACTCAAAAGTGGCAGCAGTCTCAGGGATCGGGGGGTCCTGGTTTCGAAACGCAAAACTGTCGTTACTTTTGGACTCGCGTGGCGTCTTCGCGTCTCGAAAATGGCAACCGTCTCAGGGATCAGGGGGGTCCTGGTCGCAAAACGCAGAACTGTCTTCACTTTTGGGTTTGTGTCGGGTTTTCGCGTCTCGAAGGGGTCAACAGTTGTGGGGGTCCCAGTCGCGAGGCGCTGACCTGTCATCGCTTTTGGACTTGCGTTGGGTCGTCGCGTCCCCAACAGTGTCAACAGTCTCAGGACTGGCATGGCGTCTTCGCATCTCAAAAGTGTCAACAGTCTCAGGGATCGGGGGGTCCCGGTCGCGAAACGCACAACTGTCGTAACTTTTGGGTTTGCGTCGGGTTTTCGCGTCTCGAAGGCGCCAACAATCACAGGCATCGGTATAGGTCCCTGCTGCGAAACGCAAAACTGTCTTGACTTTTGGGCTTGCGTCGGGTTCTCGCGTCTCAAAAGTGCCAACAGTTAGGCATCGGTATGGTCCCCGTTGCGAAACGCACAATTGTTGTCACTATTGGACTGGTGTTGGGTCGCCGCGCCTGTAAGCGCCAGAAATCACAGGGATAAGGGGGGGGGGTTCTGGTTGCGAAACGCAAAATTGTCGTCGCTTTTGGACTCACGTTGGGTCGTCGTGTGTCAACAATCTCAGGGATCGGGCGGGTCGTGGTCGCGAAATGCAGAATTGTCGTCATTTTTGTGTTTTTTACTTCGCGCCTTTTTGCGTTTGCCGCGGTTGGCTAGTTCCCCCCCACTTTTATCGCAGCGGCAGCCTGCTGGGCGACGGATCGGCTGCGAGCTGTAGCACCTTCGCTATGGGCAGCTCCCCGTCTGCGTTTGGCAGCGCGGGCATCGTCCAAACACCCAGGACAGTGCTGCACGTCGGGCGCTGGATTGCGATTGCCAAGGTTTTCCCCACCACCGCCGCGCCCAGCCTTGCGCGGCCGCTCCGCGCAACGCAGCCGGAGCGCGCCCGCAGAGCGACACGGCGTTACACCAAGCTGAGAGTCGTCATTGAAACGTCCGCCCATTTCGGCCGCTAGCATGCACAAGTGGTGGGGGGCCGCCTCGGGCCAGCTCGGGGTAGCGCGCATGTTTACGGCGAGTTGCCGTTGCGACTCGGGCGCTCCAGCGGCAGGGCTGCCGTTGCGTTGGATGGGTGACACCAAAGTGGCATCGCAGCAGAGGGCTTCGCCCCGAGCCGCCCTGCGTCGGTCATCGGCTGAGACCCCGGGGGCTGTGGTGTTGGTCAGCCATTGTTGAAACGTAGAAGAAAGGAAAGAGGAGAGAAGAGAGAGGAGAGAAGAGGCGAGAGAGAGAGAGAGGCGGGAGAGACAACAGAATGGAGAGGTGAGGAGAGAAGAGAGTGGAGAGGTGAGGCGAGAGAGACAAGAGTGGAGAGAGAAGCGGGGACCCGAGAGGAAAGAGGAGAGAAGATGACCCCGGACCTAAGTATCCTGATTGGTTTCGCGCATGGGGTGTGTTATCATCCTTGCGGTGTGCGTGTCCGTGTCTGCATTCGGGTTCGTAGATCTCGTCAAGTTTTTTCTCACGATCCCTTTAAACGTCACGGTCCGCAGCCGCGGCCTTCTCTGGCCACAAGTAGCGGGGCCCAGATGCAAGCGCAAACGCAAACAACCCCGCGGCCAATGTGGTTCGGAAGGAGGGATGGAGCGATTGCCTAGCTTGGAATGTGCCTGCGCCCGACTCTGTGCGGGAAGCCGGGCCCGGGGCTACCTTTCCTTCGCACCATCCCAATGCTTGTTGTTGAGACGGGCGCATCTCATTGTTTGTTTCCCAGTGCTTGTTACGTCCCACGTTTTGAACTTTCGGATTACCACCCCAGCAATGGAACTGATTGCACAAGGGTGTGGGGGGGTTAAAACGATAGCGTGCTTGGCAATCGTGAGGTGCCCACAAATACAGTCAGACCCTGAGGTCATAACAATTTTCCTGTTTTGCTTGCCCACACTGGGGAAGTAGAAGCCCTGTCCTCAAGCACGGCCGTAAGCCAGGCAGCTGCTTGTTGCCCGACTGGGAAGCCAAAATTGCACGGTGGGCTGGTCCCAACGAATCTGGTTGATACTCCGTGCTGTTGTCGCGGGGGTGGGAAATGTAGGACTGGCCAGTACCGCCAAGACTTGGCGTTTTCGAGAATCGGGCGCGGAAATGCCACCCTGAAACGTGCCAATTTTTTCCAGCGGACCTTTCCAGCTGCTCGACAGGTCCCGGTCAGTCAGCAGAAGCGCTCTTGGCTGCGTCACGCGCGAGGCATAGCCTCGCGCTTGGTTTTCCACCCAACATGGTTCATTTCTTAGTCCCTGACGCACCTAAGCTTACAGCAGCGCTTCTGGATAAGCTGCCGAGCGTCCCTGCGCAGCCCCTCGCAGCAACTACCTGCTCACGACCCGTCCCCCTTCCGTGACTGAGCAGTTCGCTGCTGGCCACGATCGCGCCATCGCGCGCTGTCTCAGCGAACGCCTCTCCCACTTGATGGCGCCTCTGCGAATGGGCGGGTTGGGCCTCCGTTTGGCCCTGGCCACCCGCGGCGGCCTTTTGGGCCTCATGGGCCGACACCTTGCCCACTTTGCATGACCGAGCCCCGAGACTGACGCCGCCCGCACGCCCTGACCAGAATGCTGGCGCGGCAAGGCTGGCTGCAAGCGCTGTGGCCAGGTTGATGCATGCAGCTGCGTGCCTGCGCAATGAAGGGTATGCAGCACCGGGCTCACATGAGCTCTCTGCTGGCGGTGGGCCGCCGCCAGAGCGACCTGAAGACCATTTGCGTGGATGGCAACGAGATGTGACTGTTTGCTTGGGTTAGGTCTGCGTGTGCGGGCCTTTTCTCGATGCGGCCTCGCGCGCCCTGATGCTATCCCAAGCACGCCCCGCCCGTTCGCACGCCATCACGGTGCTTCCCAACTGCCCATGGCGCGCCGCACATGCAGGTGCGGCGGCGCCATGGACCCATTGAGCGATCACCGCGCGGCTTGCCCCGCGGCCAGAGCTTTCGGCAAGCGCTTTGCGCCTTTCGGGTGGGCAGCGGCTCGCGTGTGCCGCGAGGCTGGCGCACGCGTAGCCTCTAACGTCTTGCTCCGGGACATGAACATAGGCGAGCCCGCGCTCGACGCGCGTCGCACCGAGGTGCTTGCCAATGGTCTCCCGCTGTGGCAGGGGGCGCAGGTTGCTGTTGACACCACCCTGGTCTCGCCGGTCACGCGCGTTGGTGAGGCGCGTCCAGGCGCTGACCGCGTGGCCTGCCACGCGGTTTCCGCGGCGGCCACCCGGAACTGGCGGCGGCTCGCCGGTGCAAGCTCGTCCTGGTGGGCGTGGAATGGGCGGGCGCTTTGGATCGGAAGCGGCGAGTTTTTTGCGAAGACGCGCCGCGGCCAGGGCACAGGGGTTGCCGGCCCGTTTGCGTGCCGCTGCCCGCCAGGCCTCCTTGCACCGCTGGACTGGCATGTTGGCAATCGCTGCACAACGGGCGTTTGCCCACTTGATGTTGGAACTGCCGCGAGCGAGTGTTGACGCGAGCAGCGGCACCGAGCCCCCCTGGGAACGTGCCAGCATGACTGCCAGGTTTCCGAATACCCCCGCATTGAAATCTTAACGGCATGTGCTCACAGCAGGTATTGAGTGAGCACCACTATCGCAAGCCAAATCACCCAAACGTGCGAGGCGCAACCAGGTGCCAGAGGCCCACGTGCTGGCCGACGCCTACAGCGCCAGTATCCCGATGTGCCGCTGACTGCTGCGTGGTGGTCGTCGGGGTCGAAAGCGGTACGGTA